CACCAGTCCCCAGAGCCCGCTGCCCGTGCCGCCCAAGCCATTCCCCTACCGCCGCTCGCCCACGGACTCCGACGTGTCCCTTGATTCCGAGGACTCCGGGGCTAAGTCGCCCGGCATCCTCGGCTACAACATCTGTCCCCGCGGGTGGAATGGCAGCCTGAGGCTCAAGCGTGGCAGCCTCCCCACCGAGGCCTCCTGCACCACCTAAAGCCGTCCCTGCCCCCGCCGCATCCCTGCCCAGGGAGGGCCAGGCGGAAAGAAGAATCAGGACTTGCAAGATCCCAGCACCGCATCCCCAAGGGGTCTGGCCTCTTTGATAGACCCAGAGATAAGGGGTCAGAGGATGAAAGCTCTGGGCTTGGGGTTAGGGTAGTGATCCAAGCTTGAGTTCTAGCCCTTGCTCAAGTCACTGTGGGAAAGACCCTTCCTCTACTGCCCCTCAGCTTTCCCATCTGTTTAATGGAGTTTTGGCCAAGGCAATCTCCAGAGGTCTAAATTCCCCCTTCCATCAATACACGCACATAAATGCCTTGGAAGAGGTAGGGTGTTGTACATATGGACCCCCAGACTTGCTGCATTGAAAGATTCTATATCCCTCCCTCCCTGCCCTGCTCCTGTCTCTGGAGTCTGGCAAATGAGGGGTGTGTTCAGAAGATCCTATGCCTAAATTCCCTGTCCAGGCCCTGGCTTGACCATCCGCCTCCCTGGCACCAAGTCCCAGGCAAGAGCAGCTGTTTTCCATCCCTTCCCAGACAAGCTCTATTTTTACCATGGTGACCTTTAGAGAGGGTCTCCTGGGCCAGCTCAAGGTGCCCTGCTGTCCTCTCTGAGAAAAAGAGGCGGGAAGATTCCTCTTCTCAGATCCCTCTCATGCTTTTCTACACCCCAGCTCAGACTGTCCCGGGCATCTTTTCTGCAGCCAGAGAAGAAAGCTGTAAGGCAACGATTTCCCCCATATGCAGGACTTGGGCCTCCAGGAATTCTACAGGGTCCTCCAACCCATCTGTCTCTTCTGGGCCCTTTCACGGCAGGCTTGGCTCAAAGTTTAGCTGGGGAGAGAAGAGTTAATATGGAGCTAAATGCTACCCTCTGGCTTTACCCGATGTTCCTGAGTTTGAGGTTGCCCATTTGGAAGCAGGAAGGCAAAGAGTTCCTGGTTATGGGAGGTATGCAAGCAGTGGCCAGGATGCATAGAGGAGATTCTAGTAGGGAATGGATTGGCTCAGATGACCTCTGAGGGCTCTTCCCATCCTGAAATGCAATCCATGGTATTAGGAAGTGAGGGAGAGTAGTGCTAGAGGACTGGCTGGGCAGATGAGCTTGCGTGGGTGGGCTGGCCTGTGTTTCTGGTTTCTTAGGAAGTGGCCCACTCTTCAGTTGCAGGCTCCAGCATCCATATCCTGCCCAGATGAGTGGGCACTGTTCTGCCTCATCTCTTTCCCATCTAGCCTAGCCAGTGCCTGGTGCCCAGTGACCTTGGGGAGCCTGGATGCAGCCCCTGGCCTGTCCCTTAAGCCATAGTGACTCTGACTCCAATCCCCAGGAGGGATGCAGGTAGGCATGTGCCTTAGTCCTACAGTTCCCAGAGTTGGCTGGTGGTGCCCTCTAGAGGTTCAGAATATCAGCTTCAGGATACTAAGTGTCGGGGTGTGGGTGGGGGGTTGGAATTGGCTGATGATCAAAAGTTTGTTTGTAGGTGAAAGGATACCAGGATGTTGCCAAAGGTGAGGGACAGAGTGTGATCTGAGGTTAGGGGTAGACTTACCCACACACCAGGGTGATAGCAAACCTGGAACCCCTAAGGGAGGCTAGGGCAAACTGAGGTCAGGATGGGAGAGACTCAGGGGTGGGGTGGGTGGATGTTTTGGAATAAAGGGCTGATCCTGGAGGATTCCTAGGGCCTAAAGATGGGGAACACAGGCCCTGTTGGTAAGAAGATAAGAAAGTGCTCCAGCTTGGTCAATGATGAGTGATCACATTTACTGAAGTCCCCACTTGCTGTAGGGACCCTTGTAGCATGGGAGGCTGGGGCTAAGGGCTTCTTTCAGAGAAAAGATACTATCAGGCCACTGGTTGAAACAGTGGCATAGAAAATCCACTTATACCTGCATTTTCCTCAAAGAGCCAACAGGAGGCAGCCTTGGGAAGCTCAAGTTCTATCTGGCTGTTCTCCATCACTGCCTTTCTCCTCAGTCCTTTCCTCTAATCCACTAGAGACTGCCTGTGCCCTGCCTCTTGCCTCCTGTAGAATTCAGCTCTGGCCTTTAATAAATGCTTCCTGCGTCCTTCTGCCTCCCGTGTCATTTTCAGCTATGTCTAAAGCCCTGCCCCTTTCCCCAACCATGGAAGATCCATGGGACGCTGGGTGGCTGGGAGCTTGGGAAGTAGCAATCATGAGGAGAGATGGGGAACAACGAAAACACCCGGCCATAGAAGTCCCTGGGTTGAAGTTCTGGTCCGGTCATCTACTAGCTGGGTGACCCTGGGTAAACCCACTCCTCCGGGCCTCAGCTTTCCTATCTGTGTAATGAATGAGCTGGGCGGCATGATGTCTCAAGGTGGTATTTCCCAGGCCTTGACCCCAGGGCACTGTCCCTGAAGTGGCCAGGTCCAAGCTGCATCAGGGGCTGCTCTGGGGCTGCTTCCTGGCGGCAGGTGGGGGTTTCAGGCAGGAAGAGGAGCCCCTTTGGGAGGTAACGTCACAGTCCAGGCAACTCTGATGAGCTCAGAACCCAGACCATCAGGAGTGACCCCTTCCTGATAGGGGTGTCCTTTGCCCAGAGAAGGGGATTGTGGCCCCACCCCCTGTGACGGCAAGGCTGTCCTGGGGACATCCTTCACCTTCCCCTCCAAAAGCTCAGGCCCAGCAGAGGCTGGGTAAAGGACTTTGAGGAAGCCGAGTTCAGGTGGTCCACAACAGAGTCCAGGCTTCTTCTTAAGAGGACGTCAGAAATACGCCCTTGCATGGTCTGCCTGGCACACAGGTACAGCCCCTGCCCTGGACCCAGCACGTCCCTGCTGGTCCGACCCTTACCCGGGAGTGGTTAGTATACCTCTGACCCAATCTTTATCTTCAGCAGACATCTCTCCTGAGCACAGTATCCTCCTACCTACTGGTGATGCTGGTGCCCAGACACCTCAAACCAAGTTCATCCCGCACTGAACTCAGCATCTGCCCCCACCCCAGTCTGCCTCCCCAAACCCCCACTGTTATTTTCCTTTGTCATCCAAGCCAGAAATGGAAGTGGCCCTTTCCTCACCTCCCACATCCTGTCTCTCCCCCAAATACCTCTCAAGCCTCTCCTCCTCCACATGCCCTCTGTCACTGCCCCAGTCCAGCCACCCCATCTCTCACCTGACCACAGTGACATCCTCTTGCCTGCCGTCTAGCTCCTGCCAACCCACTTTCCACAGGGCAGCCAGAGATATCTTTGGAAAATGCCAGCCTGACTGCTCCATTTCGGCGCTTTAAACTCCAACAGCCCCTTTTAAAATACACTTTACTTTTGAAAAGCCTGCTGTGATCTGGCCCCTGTCCACCTGTCTGGCCTCATCTCTCAGCACCACCCCAGCCCCCAGTTCTAGCTCTACTCCCTGACCCCTAACATCCTTACACGGGACTTGGCCTTGGCCTGAGATACCCGTGCCCCATGAACTCCCACTCAGCCTTCAAGGCCCAGCTCAAATGTCTCTTCCTCTAAGAGGCCTTCCCCACCCCCAGGGCTGAGCAGGTGGCTCCCTCCCCTGGGCCCTCCCAGAGCATTTCCCATGATGCGTCGCAAAGGCTGTTTACGGGTCTGACATGGGCCTGGCGGAACTCCTTGAGGACAGAGCCCTGCCTTATTTATTTTCAGTCCACAGAGAGAGGCTCAGAGAATGTGAGAAGGAAGAAGGAGGGAGGGAAGAAGGAAGGAAGGAGGGAGGAAGCAGAAGGAAGGAATGAAGGCAGGAAAGAAGAAAGGAAAGGAGGAATGAACAAGACAAGCAAAGATATTGGAGGACAATTCATTCTTCATCCATCCACTCATTCATTCATTCATTCAACAACTATCTGTTGAGCTCCTAGCAGGAACAGCCCTGCTTGGGGCCCTAAGGACACAACTAGCAAGCTCAGGTGACCGGTGACCTCCTCTCAGCATTTCCAGGTGACTTTGCTGTGTGCATGTATACGTGTGCTATACATACGTGTGCAAAGCCTTCTGTCTGCAAGGGCTTGCTGCCGGGGCACCTGTCTTCCCTGGGGCCTGGTGCTTTTAGCATCTGTCCCTGGATCCTGTTGCAGCCAGAAATAAGGCTGTAAGCCACGACAAGGCAGGGACGATTCTCGTCAGCTGAGGCCAGAGCTGGCTGCAAGGCACACCCTGCTTGTTGCCCGCCGACCGCCTGCACCAACACCGACCACTCAACTCTCAGCTTCCCAACAGAGGTGTTAATCTTGAGGGTCTGACACTCCCTCTTGCCCACTGTGGTTCCATCTGTCAGGTACTCCTAGGGGAGCTCGAGGGGCTGTGGGGAGTGGGCAGAGGAGATGAGCCAATTTCCAGAGCAGAGGAAGAGCTGCATAGGGACGTCCAGGGAGTGTGAGGCCTCATGGAAGACTGGATCCTCCGTGGAGAGGGGAGGGATTCTAAGCTCTGGGTTACACTGGCTTCAATGGGGAGGGGGTGGCTAGGATTCAAGATTGGGGGCAGGAAATGGCTCTGCTCAGGACTCCAAGATCTTTAGGCAGTAGACAGGGCACCTGTTTGTAAAATGAGGGATCTTTCCCAATGTCTGTGAATTTCTGTAAGAAGAGTATTTGTTAAGAAACAGATCCAGGGGCTGTGAGTGCTAAGTGGTCACAGCTGGAGCGCTCTCAACCATCTCATGGTCTCACCCTCACCCCAAGTGCATGCCAGCGTGCTCATGTTTGCATGCAATTTTAGGGGGTCTGTGGATGCCCTAAAGCCCACCTATGGATCCCCACGATCTAGCCTAACCTCTTTACGTGACAGAGGGGACACAGAGACACAGAGTTGGAGACCTACTTGCTCCCAGTGACAGAGGGAGTCAGGCATATCGGTCGGACTGCAGGTTATCCAGCTCAGCGCCCGCCGACCTGGGGCCCGGGGTGGGTGTGGGGGGTACTGATGGAGATAGATTGTCTTTCTAAAAGAAGGAGTGTAGAAAACCTAGAAGCAAAGCAGAGGGGCACAGGAGTGCATAGGCAGTCAGGAGGGCAAGGGGGCAAGTTAGGGAATGTGGACTCGGGACCTGCAGGGCTTCTCTGGGACTTTGGATCTCATTTGATTTGTAATATCCTCCAAGGTTCCTGGACATGCCATGAGATGCCAATGGGAGAATGGGGGAGGAGGGAGAGAAGGGGCGAAGGCAGAAAAGAGCACGATGTAAGTTAGCTGAAGGATGTGGGAGAGAGGATGGGCGCGATGGTTCTCTCAGCTTCCTTGGACCAGCCTGTGCCCTCAAGCCTCAGAGGACATGAGTCTGGGGACATGAGGGGAGGACCAGCCTTGCAGACCAGCCTAATCACCCAAGACCCCTTTACCTGCTATCTTAAACCTCCAGCTTCTTTCATCCTCTGATTAGAGCTTATCTAAGTCAGTGGATGACAACGTCTGAGACCCCCGCCTCCCCTAACCCTAATGTCCCAGAAACTAGCTGAATGAGTGAGTGCTACCCTAGCAACATGGAAGCAGATCTGTGTGACCTTGCATCTCCCTCACCCTCCCTGGACCTCAGCTTCCTCTCTCCAAATCAGACAGCCCTTGCCTGAGACTTTAGGGTGGGGCAAAGCTATTCAGGACTGGGGCTGGGTGGACCAGGGACTGGGAGGTCTGGGGAGGAATGGAGGCAGCCTGGCCCATTCTGGGGAGTCTCTCCTCCACAGGATGATCCCCAAGGAGCAGAATGGACAAGTGATGACTGCCATGGGGGACCTCACTGGACCAGGTAAGGGTGACCCAGACTTTGTGTGTTCCTCAGAGCCCATCCTTTCTTGGTCCCAGAACACAGCCGCTCAGGCTTGCTGGCCCCAGGCCTGGGCAAACAGATTTGAGCTCCAGGCCAGCCCTGAGGGAGTGTCTGTGGAATCTGCCGCCTGGCCTGGGAAGCTTCCCAAAGCACTGGGAGGGGCCTTCCCCTGATGTCTGCACATCCAAGAGCTCAGTTTGAGTGCCCTAGACTGGGCCCTGGCCCCAGCAAAGTTCTTACCTCAACCCCAGATCGAGTCCAAGCTCCCCACACACTTGCCCCTGCTTGTTGTAACTGGGGGTCTCACTGAACCCCCATGGCAAGAGACAAGGGGTCAGGGGCCGGTACGGCAAGGACAGGCTTCCCAATCTGACTCAAACCATCTCACTTAAAACCCGATTCATCCAATGGATAAATCATCTAAAACACATTTTTATCAACTTTATAAGACCTCTTCCAGAACTCTTGGTGTAATTTTGGAGTCTGTTTATTTGGCCTACTTTAGAGCATTTCCAGTATTTTAAAAACAAATTCAACTAAGTCAGGGCTCTCAGACTTTAGTGTGAGCTGTAGCAGCATGGCATCATTGGTTAAAAAGGCAGGTTCCCAGCATCCACCCCCAGGGATTCTGATCCAGGGGACATGGAGAGGGGGCCATGTATTAGCCTTTTAGATTATTACCCAGGTAATTCCAATGCAGGCGGGCAGTGAACCAAGCTCTGAAAAACCCGCGTCTAAGGGCAGTGCTGCAGCTTTGCCTCCTTCATAGCTCTAAGAAGCCCTTAATGTCGTAGGACTTTATCTGTGTGTCGTACTTGAAAGTTGTTGTGTATGTTCTTGCCTCCCTTTGTTGTTGGTGTTGTTTCTCTTTTTCATTTCACAATTTTTTTCATTTCATGATTTTCATTTCCTGTGTGTTGAAATAGTCAAGCTTTGGGAGCTACTGATGCTCTAACTAGAAGAATCAGGCAATGCATTTTCTTTTCTCTTGTCTAAGTAATTAATTAGTTACAGACCCCCCAGATATTGACACACATCATTTACGCCAGACTAGAAATACATGAATCGTTGACTACTGGTCGGATATTAATTAAGGACAATTTTGAAACTAAAGAAAAGTAGAAAGGAAAAAAATCTCATGATACCACCAAAAGCTAGCTGTTGTAGAAGAACAATAAAACACTAACCATGACTGAGTGCTAACCATGTCTCAGATACTGTGCTAAGAGCATTTGCACTTTATGGTATCTAACCTCACAAATACTCTGTAAGTTAAATATGAGTATCCCCATTTTGCAGACAAGAAAACTGAGGCTCAGAGAAGCTAGGAAGTCACATATTTAGTAGCTGGTAGAGCTGAGATCTGACCTCAGATCTTTTTGTCTCCCAAAACTGCTCCTTTACCACATGCTTATATAAATAAAACATTTATTTTATGAAATATTCAGATAAAACAGACATGAATGACTTTGAAAGTGCAAGTTCCTCATAACGGAACCATCTGGAGATAACCATTGTTAACAGATTTGTGTAAATTCCTCTTCTGTTCATATATAAACATATTTATATAAAAGCATATACATGTGGGCTAAATACCATGCACTGTGTTCTTCATCGTAATTTTTTTTCACTCAGCGGCGCGCCACAGACTTCTTTCCACCCTAGTACAACTTATCTCACCATCTTCCCTCCCCTGGCTCCCCCAGAATATACTACGTTATACACATTTATACACACACACACACCCGCTAAGGGTGGTCACGACGAAGGCTCGCCCCAGGGTGGGACCCTGAGGATTCCTGGACAGGTGACTTATTGAGGTCTCGCTCCCAGGAGAAGGGAAGTGACAGAAGCAGGATCGGGCAGAGGTAGTTGCTCAGTAAGGATGTGGGCCCCAGAGCATGAACTGATTGCCCCACAGAATTCATCCCATCTTCCACAAGGGGGCCGTGGCAGCCTCTACTCACCGGGGCAGTTCTCTGCAGAAGGGGGCCGTTGTGAGCTGTTCGTCACTGATAAAGACCATCTGGGCAGCATCCACCACAAGGCTGAGCCCCGGTTTTCACAAGTTGAAACCTCACTGCAGTAAACATCCTTGTACGTTCATCTTCAGGCATGTTTATTCAACTTTTCTCCCCAAGAGTGAATGCCTAGAAATTGAATTGCTTAGTCAAATAGCTTTTTATTGATAGTTTTAAAAAATATGTGTGTATATATATATATATATACATATACACACATATATATATATATACTGAGCTCAGTTCATCTGACTAGTATTTGAGAATATGATGCCAGGGGACTTCCATTATGCATTTAGGTATAAATAGTCTTTCACATTTTTAAGTATGCAGTATATTTTCTTGTTAAAAGACAAAAACAGTGCAAACAATTTTCAGCCCTCCTCCTTCTTATGTCCCATGAGTGGGCACTGCTAATATCTGGCATGTCTCCTTGCAGATCTTTCAATGTCTGCATAAACATATATCCATCTTTTAAAATACATGGGTGGGATCTTAGAATGCAGATTCTTCTGAAATTTACTTTTCCCCCCTCTTAATCTACAGTGGATTTCTTTTCCTCTTGTAGAAGGTGCTCTCTATATATTTGCTGAAAGAAAACACGAGCCTTTTTTTTTTTAAGGCTGTTTAGGATTCCATTGAAAGAAATGGAGTCACAGCACCTGAACGGCCCTCAGTGCTGCTGGTAACCACATCCATCTCCCTGACCCATTCACTTGCCCCTACTGTTCTCTGAGACAGTTTGAGCAACCTTTTCTTCTTAAACCTCCAGTACCTCCCCCACCTTCAGTCTCAGCTAATGACCTTGCTTCTTATTTCACTGAGGAAAATAAAGTGTCTGAAAGAGAACTTCTGCAGCTCCCTCCACCACATCTGTCCACGTGTTTGCATCTGTGTCCCTGTTCTCAGTTTTCCTTCCTGATGTGATCAGTGCACTCTCCTGGCACCTGTCTGAAGCTAACCCCTCCAGTTGGGCAGCGGACCCCCTCTCTCCTCTCTCTCTTGCTCAAGGACATCCCTTCAGCAATCCTCCCCTCTCTCTGTTTCACTGTCAGATTTTCTCATCCGCTAACACACATGCTATTGTTTCTCCCTCTTTAAAAATAAACAAACCCCTCTTGCTCCCACAACTGCCTCCAGCCACGCTCCTTCAGAGCACAGCTCCTCAAAACAGCTGTCTTTACCTTCTTCCTCTCCTTTTCTCCTTTTAACATTAAGCAACTTACACACACACATAGAAGTAGAGATTTCAAATCCCCACGGCCCCCCTTTTTTCCCTGGAGTCCAGAGCAAATCCCAAAGAGCATGCCATTTCATCTCTCAAATATTTCATAATGCATCAAAAAGTAACAAAAAGGACACTCCCTTACAGGCCACAAAGATATTAGCACAATGAACAAAGTTAGCAATATTGATTTAATACTATCTAATAACCAGTCCCTTAGTCAACTTTCTCTGATTTTCTAGTTTGTTAATGAGGATCCACGAACAATAAGAGCCACTTTTTAATTGAGGTAACAATGGCTGATAACATATAGTTTCATATATAAAAGATACGTTTCTATTTCCCCATTCACCACAGCGTGCTTGCCACCAAAAGGCTGGTTTCTGCCCATCACCACACAGTTGATCCCTTTACCCACTTACCCCTCCCCTGCAACCCTACTCCCTTCTAGTAACCACTCCTCTGTTCTCTGCAAATACATGTTTGTTTTTGTTTGCTTTGTTCATTTATTTTTTGATTATTTGTTTGTTTGTTTTTATATTCCACATGTGAGCAAAATCATATGGTACTTGTCTTTCTCTGTCTGACTTCACTTAGTTTAATACCCTCAAGGGCCATTGTTTTTATTTGTCTCTTAAATCTTGCCTTAATTCTAAAATACTTACCCCCACCCTTTTTTCCATTTCATTTACTCCTTTGAAGAAACCAAGCCAGCTGCCTTACAGAATGTCCCACATCCTAGATTTGGCTCATTGCTTCCTCGTGCTGCGGTTAAGCTGTGTTCCTCTGTCCCTTTTCTCTTGAACCCTTTCCAATAAGGCTTTCACAGCCAAATACCCCACAGGAACTGCTTTTGTGGAGATAACCAATAATAACACCATGTTACTAAATATAATGGCCAATTCTCAGCTCTCATCTTACTTGACGTATCAGCAACCTTTGACTCCTTTGATGAGTCCACCTCCCCTGAAGTGCTTTCATCGCTTGGTTCTAGGACACCACACTCCTGAGATTTCCTCCTACCTGGCTGGGTGCTTCTTCCCAGGCTCCAGGGCTGATTCCTTGTTTCCTCCCTCTACATGTTGGAGGCCCCAGGGCTCAGTCGTTCAATCTCTTTATCCATCCTCATTTCCTTGGTGATCTCACCCAGCCTCCAGGCTCAAAATACCACTTATAGAGCTGGAATATGAACCTACGCGTATGTGATCTTAGAGATGACAACTCTGGCCGTGCTGCCCGGAGGTGCCCCCTCCTACCAACACCCCCACCATTTGTCACTCCTTTCTTCCAAAAGGCTTCCCGTTTTGAGCCAACATAAAAGGATGCATTTTGCTGGTGGGGAAAGCACAAAGGATGGGCCCCCAAACTACCAAGGACAGTCATCATTCCTGGAAACCCTCTACATGCCTATAATGACTGGTCCTAACTACGAGAAAAGTGATAAATGTGACCGTCTTCATTAAAAAACAACAGCAAATGCCATTTGTCCTCTTGAGCTGCCTCAATGTCTATGTCCAGGTCAGTCTTCTCCCGTGAACACTAGACTCACAGCTCCCTCTTTGGCACCTCCACTTGGATGCCTGTAAGGCTCTTCAAACCTTATGCCCAGTTTTGGAGACAATTAGGGGAGTCTGAATGCAGACTAGGCATTATATAAAACAAATCCATTCACTTGGGAAGGTAGAGATCTTTAGATGATAAAAGCAAGTGACAAAGAATCTATGCTATGATTCCATTTTGGTTAAAAAGTCACATATGAATATATAGTCACTGGAAAAGATATGAAAGGCTAAACACTGAGGTGTTCACAGGTGTTCTACTGGGTGGTAGAAAATGGTATTTTCTTTTTCTCATACGTCTGTATTTTCTAACTTTCTTCAATATGATATTTTTATAATAATAAAAGGCTATTTTAAAATGAAAAGAAAAAGTGTCTAGGACCGCATGCCTGGTCTTTCCCCACTCCTCCTCCTCCAGCCTTCCCATGTCAGGGAGCAGCTGCTCCATCCTCCTCGTGGCTCGGGCCAGAAGCCCTGCTGTCACCCTCCACTCCTCTTTCTTATATTCCATTCCCATGGCCTGCCTTTAAAAGATATCTACAACCTGATCATTTCTCACTAGTTTCACCCCTGTGGGCAAAGAGCTGCACGGGAAGTGCCTGGAATCAATACAACTGGCCAAAGAACATCTGAAATGATGCTCAATTTCACTGAGCATCACATACGTGCAAATTAAACTTAGGGACATCATTTCTGCCCACTGAGTGGACAAAGATTCCACCCCGTGTCGGCAAGTATGGGGAGAAATCGGCCTTCTCATACAGAACGGGTGGAGCTGTGAGGAGGTCCTCTTAAGGGGCCGCAGCCCTAGCGCCCTGAGGGTCTGATGGTAAGAGCTGGCTCTGGCCTCTCCTGGCAGTCCCGGTGCTGGACCTGGGCAAGAAGCTGAGCGTGCCCCAGGACCTGATGATGGAGGAGCTATCACTGCGTAACAACTGAGGATCCCTCCTCTTCCAGAAGAGACAGCGCCGTGTGCAGAAATTCACCTTTGAGTTCACAGACAGCCAGCGGGCGGTGAGTAAGCCCACATTGTGCTCACAGGCAACTGAGGCCCAGAGAGGGCCCCTCATTAGCCTAGAGCTAAACAGCCAGGTGAGGACCTCTGGCCCCTCTGGGGGGGTCCCTCAAATCCCAGCTGGGGCAAGCTGTGATGTTGCCATCAGACTGACCCCTACCTTGCTGTGTGATCCTAGAAAAGGGTTAGCTCTTTAGGCATCTCTCTCCAGATACAAAATATAAAGTGGATTGGGACAGATGAGCCTTGGAGTGAAGGGACTCTGGCTTCTACAAAAAGTGCAGAACAGCCAGGTGCTCAGGACTGAATCTGCAGCAAGCAGGACTTAGATTGGACCTAAGCTTTATCTAAAAGAGAAAATGCAGACCCCCTTTCTCTTCTTCCCACTGGAAGAAGCAAAGGCCATGAGACAGTCTGCTGGTAGAGAAAGGAGGCAAGAGTGGTTTGTCCCCAGGCTTCAAAAGGGCGGCAGGCAGTCCGAGGCACTTCGAATGAACTCAAGGGCCTTTCAACCTGCTCCACTCAATTTCTGGTGAGACAGGAGGGGATGAGAGGGAGCGATGTGGCAGAATAATAAAGATGACCAAACATCTACTTTTGCTACGTGCCTTAGGACAGTGCTAGCTAAGCATTTTACATATACCATCTCATTTAATGATCATAGAGTGATACTATTATCATCATCTCTGTTTTACAGAGAAGGAAACTGAGGTTCAGAGAAATTAAGCGTATACCCAGGGTCAATATTATAATAGCAACTAACACATATAAGAGCACGTCTCTGTTCCAGGCACTGGGTTTAGTGCTTTACACTATTAATTCATCCCCCGAGCATCCCTGGGAAGTGCGCTCTAGGATTATGCCCCCACCACTGCCCACCTCTTTTTTAGTGGAGGGAGAACTCTGGACCCTTGTCCTGCTGAGCCTCCCTGTGGTTTATCTCTCCCCCTACAGACAGTGGCTGGAAGCACCAAGGGGAAAGTGACCGGAACAGCGGAGCCTGGGATGGTGAGCATAGAGGGAGACCCCACAGGTGGGGAAGCCATGAGGAAGGGGCCAGACAGCTCAGCTTCCTCAGCCCACTGCCTCTGAGCTCCTGCCCCTGTGCCCAGGTTGCCAACAGCCCTGAGGGGCAGAACTACCGCTCTGAGCTCCACATCTTCCCGTCCTCACCAGGGGGCACTGAGGATGCCCAGTCTGCAGCCTCTCGGGTGGAGAGCGCCCACAGCCCCAGTGCCCTGGCGCCAGGTGAGTGGCCTCCCCCCATCCCAGGACCAGGACTGTGGGACTGGAGTGAGGATGTGCTCCGTGGCAGGGCAGGAAGGATGCCCAGTGAGCATCTAGCTCACCTCTTTCCCAACATACACACACACACACACACGCATGCACGCATGCACCCCTCCGCATGCCCAACAGAAGCCTAGAGAGGTGCAGCAATGCAGCCAAGGTCACACAGCGAGCCAGAGTCCAAACCAAACTACAGTCTGCACCCCAACTCATGATTCCCCTGCCCTAGTCCTTGTCTCCAGGGAACAACGTTGGCATCACATTCCAGCCCCTCCCCCTACTCCCCTTTTCTATCTCTTGACTTCAGACCCCTAGACAGTGTCTGTGGGGTGGGCAGTGGCGCCGAGCGAGTAAGGAAACCAGGCTCCCTGCTCCACTCCTAGGCTATGCTGAGCCACTGAAGGGCGTCCCACCTGAGAAGTTCAACCACACAGCTATCCCCAAGGGCTACCGCTGCCCGTGGCAGGAGTTCATCAGCTACCGGGACTACCAGCGCGAGGGCTGCAGTCACACCCCCAACCTGATGGAGTATCGAAATTTCAACAAGTAAGGGGCGGCAGGCTTGGGGAGGGTCCTGGAGGGAGGATGGGCCAGGAGCCGGTCACAAGCACTGCAGGTGGTTTCTACTTGCCAGGCTCTGTCCTAATGTCTTATATGTTTATTGAGCTCTTGCTGAAACTCAGTAGAACTCTTCCCTTAGCACATAGTTGGTGCTCAATAAATGTAAAGGAATGAATGGGTGAATGTGGCACACATCTTGTTGGATCCTCCCCCTACAACAGGGTGGGGCAGGTGCTACAATTTTTCCTATTCTGCCATGAAGGGTATTATCCACAATCTGCCCCAAAATCACAAAGCAAGGAAGCAGTGACAAGGCGGGGATGCAAGTCTAAGTTTGTTCAACTCCAGAGCCCAGTTTCTTGTTTTGCATCACTGCTGTGTGCCACCTCCTCGATGTGCGCATCCTTCGAGGTGCGGGTCCTGCCCTGGATGAGGGCCGCAGGTCTATCAGTCCTAGGCCAGCTCAGCCTTTTCCCCACTTTGATCAATGGTCTGGAAGAGGCCTGGAAACTGGCCTTGAGGCTGTACCATACCACTGTGAGGAGTGGAACCCTGAACACCAGAAGTGAGAGCCACAGAGCAGTGGCTCATAGTGTTTAGAATGTGGGGCCTCGACAAGAGCTTAATGCCATCTCTGCAGCTGGCTGTGTGATTGTTGGTAAGTGACCGAACCTTGCTGGGCCTCCATTTCCCCACCTGTAAAATGAGACTATTATAGTAGCTAGTTCATAAGATGGTTGTGAGGCTGGCATGAGACACCAAAGGCAAAGTTTCTAGCAAGTGACAAGCTCTCAATAAATGGTAGCCATCATTATTCCTGTTCCTATTATTATTATTATTATTATTATTATTATATTTACAGGTTGAAATGATGGCTGGAAAAGCCAAGAGGGGAGAACTAGAAAGGGATGACTTTAGCATTCTGCTCTGGGGGACTGAAAACAAATCATAGCAGTCAAGGCGGGAGCTTGGCACTGGAGGAAGGGCCTGGGCTGAGGGATGCATTTCAACTGCGATTGGCTTCCTCTGTCTGATGCTATTTCTGAAAAATGCTCCTCTGGCTTGGGCTGCGTTAAGTGAGAACGAGGAGGGTCCGCAGAGAGGAGGCCACAGTCCAGCTCTTCTGGCACCTGCTCAGACCACACGTGGAGGCTGTCTGTCTGACAAAGGCAGACAGATGGGCTCCAGAGCCTGGCTAGGCCTGGAGAGCAGGCCCTCTGAGGGAGGGCTGAAGGAACTGGCGGTGCTGAGCCTTGAGAAGAGACTGCTCAGGAGGGCTGTGACTGCCCTCAAACAGCTGATAGCCAGGGAGGACCCTGACGGGGAAGAACTGGGCCCAACAGGCACTGTGCAACCATGAGCCACTGGCAGACATTGCAGGGTTTCCTGCCAGGCAGGACTATGCTGTCGCTCCTTCTGGGGCCCTTGGCCATGCCTGTCCAGCTATTTAAAACCCTCAGCAGACATTCAGTACTGGTAGCCAGCTTCCAGGCTGGCCAGTGTAGCTCACAGCTCCTCCATCTCACACCTCAGCTATGACAGGCTGAGGCACGTTCCCGCCAACAGCAGGAGGGTCTTAGGGAGCCCTGAGCCCAGGCCCCTCCTGGGACAGAAAAGGCAACTGAGGCAAAGAAAGAAGGAACAGCAGTGTTGGTGGCCAAGCCCTGTTCAGGATCCAGGGCTCTGGGCTCCCTGTCAAGGGCCCAACTGTGAAGCCTGCTCGACTTGGAAACTGCCCAGCCTGTTCCTGCAGGGCCTGGCTGTTGCCACCACAGCTGGGGTGGTCCAGGCAGAAAATGTCCTGGCTGGAACCCAGGCTCTGGCCGAAGGTTTGCCTTTCTACCCTGGGGCAGGCATTCCCCTCTTTCCATTGGTCCCAGGCTACAGGGAAAACGCTACATGAGCAATGCTTCTTATTTTCTTAAAATTAAAACTAAGTAAAAAATCATGTACTTATATCCTCTTAAAAAAAAATAAAACCTAGGCAACTGCAAATAAAGATAGGTTCCCTTTGTTCCCCATCCTCCAATCCCAGCTCCCTTCCTAAAGGTAACACTGTTGTCAGGTTAGTGTGTATGTTTCCAGAACATTCTCTACAAGGGGAACATTTTCTGTGTGGCATTGTTTAGTGTGTGTGTGTTTTAACGCTTTGTATTTGCTTGATTTTTTTCACTCAACATTATGTTTTTGAAATCTCTTTTTAATACATAGAGCTCTTTCCCTTCCTTTTAAGCTGCTGTATAGTACTCCACCATGTTAAGCTATGACATATATCTTATCCATTCCTCTGCCAATGGACATATGGCTTGTTTCTGGTTTGTCACTAGCCACTGCTCATATCTGCTTCCTTACATAAGAGCATGTTACCTCCCTAAGCCACAGGCTTACAGGTGGAGTTGCTGGTTGATAGAATTTGCACATTTGCAGGTTTAAAAGATCCTGCCAAATTGTCCTTCAAGGTAGCAGCCCTAATTTACCCTCCAACCAGCAGTATATGAGCGACACTTTACCCTACCACCTCACTAACTTTTGCCCCATTACCAAATTATTTCTTCTTGCCAGTCTTATGGGTAAGAAATGGCATGTCTTTGTTGTAATCTATATTCCTTGATTCTCAGAGTTCTTTCTCATCCTCCCTTCTCTCTCCAGTTTGTGATATACCGTTCTAAGGGGAAGTGACAAGCGGAAGGAAAAACCTTATTCCAATTCCACTCCGATCTGGACCTACCTGACTTAGGGCGAGTCTAGAGTGTTGCCTAAAACAAGACAATTCTAACTCTGAAAACTTCACTCCCATTTTTAAGCAACAAGCCACCCTGAGTAGGGGCAGACTTGGGAATATGCAGAGCTGCAGAAACCTGTTAAAGATAGCACAAAACTTGCTGAATAGCAGGGGACACTGAAGCCAGAGAGAAGCAGGGAGGGGCTGTACATGGTGGCCCACATGCCAGTGTTCTGCCCTCCCTTTCTCACACAGCCCCCCTCTCCTGCTGCTTTTCTTTCCCCAGGACCCCCGTGCCCTTTGGAGGACTCCTGGTGGGGGAAGCCACTCCGAGGGCAGGTACCCCCTTCGTCCCAGAGCTCACCAGTGGCTTGGAACTCCTCCGCCTCAGACCCAGCTTCAACAGAGTGGCCCAGGGCTGGGTCCGCAGCCTCCCAGAGTCCGAGGAGCTGTAGCCCCAGCTTGAATCTTCAATCCCCCATCCCAGAGTTTGAGTAACATCTGGAGCCAAGACTTGTGGACAGCACTTCACAGTTTACAAAGGGCCATCACACACAAAACCTTCTTGCACATCGCCTCGACGGTCCCAAAGTTCAGTAGTCCCCAAATGTGGTATGCTTCACAATTACCAGGGAGTGTTGTTTCTAATACAGATTTCTGGCCTGTCCCAGACTTGCAGCATCAGAATCTCCTGGGCTGGGAAGTCTCTACTTAGTAACTAGTACTCCCAGGTGATTTGAGTAAAACTTGCCCCCGGTTCGTATCTTTAGGAATCCAAACCACCAATGACTTCACGTCCATGCGTCCACTGTCCCCTGCTCCTATACTCCAGCTCACACTCCCCCAGTAACAGGAGGCTCATTAACTGCCCACTGACCTGTGAATCACTCTGAGAATTAGAAAGTTTTTCCTTTTACTGAGACACAAGTGGTCTTTATCTAGTCATGCCGTTAACATTTACTAAGCACTTACTGTGTGCTAGACACTGTGCCAGCCCAGGGAGAGTGTGTGGGGGCCTGGGGAGGAAAAGACAGATTTGTAAAGGAGTAAATCATCTAAGATTTCCCTAAAGTGTGCTAACTGATGACTGAGGAACAGAGCTCCGTGAAGCAGAGGAGGGAGTGTCTAACCCTGGTGGCGGGGGCGGCGGGGGGGACAGCAGGTTCTGAGAAGCTTCCCAGAGCATCTGAGTGGACCTCAGAAGAAGAGAGACAGTCCCTCAAGGCAAGAGGGTGCGAGGGGGAGGGCATTCCTGGCAAGTGGACCGCTTGTGCAAAGGTGTGGAACTGACATGGGTACAGGTGTTCTAGAGAAGTGGGGGCGATGTCAGAGGAGTCGGGGACTCCTTAGAGGGCCAGAGTCGGGTGCGCTGCACTAGGGAAATGGGGAGGTTCCTAGGCTGGGGAGTGAGGGGTCTCGCTGGTTGCTGTGTGGGGCACGGATTGGAGAGGCGTAAGGAGGGAAGCCAGGAATCCTTCAGGGAACAAGGCCTGAACTGGAGAGGCGGCTGTGGGGTTGGAAAGAAGGGGTCCCCGACACCTTACAGGACAAGTGCAGAGTGGGGTGCTGACAAGGATAAATCCTCTCCACCCGCTTCCACTCACCATTTAGAGCAGGCCCCAGGGCAGATCTCATCCTAGTCGTCACCAGGAGTAGCTCCGCGTCTGCCTGGCTCACTGGGGAGAGAAAGAAATACGCTTCAGGTGGTGATGATGATGCTGGTGGCTGCTTTCTTTCTATTGGGCGCCTCAGTGCGTGGGCTGGCGGTAGGTCCTCTACATATCCTATTTCTAATTCGCAGTACAACCTGGAGACAAAGTTACCTCCCCGTTTTACAGACGTGGATACCCAGGCTCAAGAGGGGCAAGTGACTTGTCCTGGGACAGAGCCAAACTGGGAATCTATCTGACTCCAGTGGATGTTTCTCATCACCCTGCTGGGCGGCCAAGCCAGTGCCCATTCACTCTGGAATCACCTAACCATGGTGCCTTGCTCTAGAGTTTAGAGGTGAAGAGTGCAGGCTGAGGGGTCAGACTGGATGGGGAGGGTTCTGACGGCTGCTGCTGGCTGTGTGAACTCAAGCAAGTCATTTCTCACCTGTGGGCCTCTGTTTCTCCACCTGTAACATGAGCACAAGAATAGAAGCCCCTGCACAGTTTTGTGAACATAGTGAGGGATGCATAATAAGCAATCATTATCAGATTTCACGTAACTGCTGCCCTGGGCTGGGTAAGAGGTTCTTGCAGTGAATGCAGCTTGAGAAGAGGCTCATGCAAATGTCACTGCGGGTGAGCAAAGCTGAAACCTGAAGGAAAGCCTCTGATCACGGTAGGGCTCCACTTGGACATGACTTACCTCCTTCACCCGCTGCCTCCCTCTGCCTCCTCGGGGGGTGGGGGGAGAAGAGAAGGTCAGGAATCCAGCTGGTTGCCAGGGTGCATGGGATAGTGGCTGCATTTTCCTTTTGCTCTGGAGTTTCGCTGTGCCCCACACAGACTCAAGGGGCCAGCAGCCTGACTCTTATATTTGCTTGCGACTGATGTGCTGTCTTAATTTGAGGGCTGCCACTTAAAGGTATGTTTCCATATGCCGAAAGTCAAACATTCAAGTGTCTGGAACCCAGAAGAGAGGATCTGGATTGCCTTGGGTTGGCTCTGCTGTGCTCTGGAGGGTAATGGCAGCCACCACGTACAGCAGAGGAGAGCCTCATGGGGAGTCTGCTGCACCCCAAAGCTAATTCTCATTCCTTTCTTCTTCGGATGTGACTTTCGCCAATGTTGTTTTTTTTAAAAAAATGCTTATTGTAAAAATAAATAAACAAAGATGTAAAATGTGAAGGTATCTGCCCACAAAGCTCCTCCCCTGCACGTACATAGACCTTCCACCCTCCGGCATTCTGCCCCATTCCCACATGCCAGAGGCAACCGCTGAGAATGCTTTGGTCCCTCTAGAATTCTAGACTTACTTGAATAAATATATACATGTGTATAGATGCGTAAGTACAAAGATATGTCTTTCTTTTAATGCTACGATATTTGTTTTTCTGTATTTTGCTTCTTTATTCAACAAGTAAAATTTGGATCCTGAAAAAGGAGGTCATTAACTTTTCATTTGGGAGTCTAGCAAGCCCTTCATGTAAACGCTATACTTCTGCTGTTTTTGTTCTTTATATAAATGAAATCATACAGTGATATGGAAATGAAACGGGCTGAGAATAGCCCAGACACTGGGAAACCTGACATGAGACATGAAAGGACAGTTACATGCAACAATACAGATGCATCTCAGAAACAAAATGGTGATCAAAGGAGGCAGATATACAAATATGCGTTTATTGATGCAATGAGGTGTTTAATACAGAAGTCAGGATAGCGGTAACTTGGAGGAAAGAAAGGTTTGTGATTGTGAAGGGACAGAATAAAATGCTTCTGAGGAAAGCTGGACAATCTCTGTTTCTAGATCTGAGTGACTGTTACATACATATTCACTTTAAAATATTTAGTTGTACGTCTGTGTTTATGCACTTTTATGTACCTGTTACATTTTACCAAAACAATATCTCCTTTAAAAAAGTTAATGGACAGATTAGTAGTGTGGATCAGATGTACTGAAGAAAGAATTAGTGAACTAAAAGTGCCCACATGCATCACCGAGAGGTAAAGGGAAGGAAAATAGGGAGAGAACTGAAAAGACATGGCAAATAAAAGCAAAGCAAGTGTCCAACAGTACTAACAGGAGTTCCAGAAGGAGTTTAAAATGACTTGGGATTTTCCAGATTTGATAAAAGACATAAATTTACACAATCCTCACCCTGTCATGAGAAGGACAAATTAAAGCCACACTGAAGAATCACTGTAGTGAAATGGCAGAACTCCACAGTCACAGAGGTATTTCAAAGGCACCCAGACAAAAGACTTAGATTACCTACAAAAGAACAACACTTAGAATGACTAATAATGGAAAAATACCTTCAGGAAGTGAGGGCAAAATAAATTAATTTTCAGACAAATAAATATGACGAGAGCTTTCACTAACCCCTGAAAGAACTACAAAAGAACGTGCTTTGCAAAAGATCAACAAAGAAAGTACAAAATCTAAGAAGAAATGGTGACCAGAGAAATCAATTCAAAAGACAGCAGGAAGGATGAAAAAGAAGCAAAAAAAGGCGCATAAAATAAAGTGGTATAAATACATTTAAATATATCAGGTATCACAATCAATGCAAATGCATGAGACTCACCAGTTTAAAGACAGAAACTCACACAGTGGATAAAAAGTAACTCCAGCTCTGTGCTGTTCACAAAGCAGCATGCCTAAAAATATGACACAAAAGTGAAGTAAAGAAATGGAAAAGGATGAACCAGTTAAATCCTATTCCAAAGAAATGTGTGCTAGCCATATTAACATCAAAGGAGACTTTCTGGCAAAAAAAATTTCTGTGATAAATATCCTTACATCATAATAAACTCATTATCACAGGGGAAGATTTAACACAATTCTTTCAATTGTTGATTGGTTATCAGACAAATAATGAATAAGGATATAGAAAATTTAAACAATCAAGTGAAAATGGAGAATTCCACACCACCAAATTAGACAATATTCATCTTCAACTACCTGTGAAACACTTTTAAAAATGAACACACAAAATTAAAGACCTTTGTGCATCCCCCAAGGTTCATAGCAGCACTATTTACAATAGCAAAGACATGGAAACAGCCTAAGTGTCCATCAACAGATGACTGGATAAAGAAGATGTGGTATATTTATACAATGGAATACTATTCAGCCATAAAAACCGACAACATAACGCCATTTGCAGCAACTTGGA